TTCTGAGGTCAGGGAATAAAAGGTCATGTAGTCTCCGGTTTATTTGCTAAAACATAAAATCTAGGAATCTTTACACCCAAATGAAAAAGTCTGGATTATCCTCAGGCTGCATGCTGTGAGGAAATGAGGGCCACATAGAGATGCAATCTACAAGTGCTCAAATTGACAATTCAAACTAATCCCAGTTTCATAAACTACCAGAGAAGTAAGTAATGAAGCCATCTTGGAAGTAGATTTACCAGCTGCAGATTCCCGAATCATGCTATCAGTGTTTAGAAACAAACCTTTCCTTTACTATTCTTTGTGAACTCTGTAGCATAATAAAACATTGTAATTTGAAACCATTAAATCTGGTATGGTTTGTAACATAGCAGAAGATTGCCAGTACAGTAAGTAAATTACCTGTGGCTTGGCAATTTTAAGTTTTGCTTTGTTTGCTTGTTTGTACTTTGGTCAATCTATTGAAAGGTATGCAGTGTATATGAATATTATTTAGTAAGGTTAATCTTGGAAGCTAATGCCCTTCCAGATTAATTTACTAGACTACAGATTTTTTTTAAAAAGATTTATTTATTTATGCATACAGAACTAGGGTACAGGCCAGAGGTGCAGGGATTCATCAGAGACAGAGTAGGGAGCAGAACAGGCTGATGGCTGAAGTACACTGCTGAGGGGAGCAGCGGGCGGGTCAGGAGAGGTCTGCCTCGCTACATGGATCATCTCCGGGGAGGGCGGGGTTCGAACTCATGCTGAAGTGGCTTTAGCTTCTTAGTGCTGTGCTTTAACCTGCTGCGCCAACAGGGAGGGCCCTAGACTATAGATTCTTACTCACTGCCAATAAATATTATCTTGACAAACCACTTGTGCTCAAAATTCTGGATCCTTGGTATATGTCCATGATGGAGAAGCTGACAGTTTTAAAACAGTCAATGTAGCTGTGAAATTATAGGGGAATATATAACCTGGGGATCAGTGCCACAATGAGACATTAAATTTTGTGATGCTGTCAGTTTTTCTTTTCTTTTCTTTTTTTTGCTTTTAAGACTGAGAATGCTTGTGATTAACAATACCAGGCAGAGATCAGCATTTGAAAGTTATCTGCCTATTAAAGTTCTGAGTATTCTCAGAGCTGAAAGGACCCTTAGAAACCCACTCAGGAAGCTCCTTATCCTGCAGCTGAGACAGGGGCAGGGGAATGCCAAGCTCTGCCATTGGAACCACAGGCTTCTGACTCCCAAACACTGACTTTCCTCAGTGTTTTTTGGCTTGTAGTGGGCCTCAAAGTGAACAGAGGCAGGTCATATGAACTAGCTACATGGTACACACTGTTTTGGCTATGTATACTTTTGTGTCCATTTCTGGAGAGAATCTCTGTGTTGGTTCTTACAGAGATTGGTGACTCAGTGCACTTGGGTATCCAGTTATTTAAAAACTATCAGAGCGAGTTTAGTCTTGTACTTCTCCATAGCTGTATCAAATCTCCTGGGGACATTGCCCAGTCATTCAAGATGGGTATATAATGGGCACTTCTTTCTGATGGTTAGGGTAAGTTGGAGCACCTAGCAACCCACACATCTTACTGCCTGTTTTGAAAGACTTGTCAAGTACTAACATTTTAAAATCACTTTTGTGATTCAAAACAAGGACTAATTAGGCATTATTTCTTTTTGTAGCCCTGGCAGTCAAGGCAGGGAGATCTGGGATCTCTACAGAAAAAGCCTGAAAGCTTTTTCATGTACAGCCATGTCCAATGTGGGTATTCAGTAGCCTTTTCACATGGCATTTCAGGAACCCAGATTCTTTACTGTGGGGGTTCTGCCATCTTCTTAAGTATTAGAGTCCTTTATGTCTGGCCAGTAGAAAGGGAGAGTTGGGGACTGACCTGGGAACTGAGATTGCTAAGGAGGTGGAGTGCCACTACCCACATTCTAATGACAAGAAATAAGACACATGGCGGTATGGTGTTGGGGCTTCCTAGCAACAGTTCTAAGCTAATGAAGAGAAGCACAAATCTCTTTTGGGCACCTCCTCCTCTGCCACAGGCAGTAAGCATTTTTGGGGTCCTAAATCTTAATGATAAATGAAGTTTCTGAGATGGAAGTTTCTGACAGCCTGAGAAATCTGCATGGCAGTTGCGTCTTCATTTGGTGGACATCTTAGGAATTAAAGTGATCCTCAGAAACTGTAGGTTGATTAAAAAATAGTGTAATGATAGGAAAATTACAGTTCCTGGGTAATAGGATATTTTATTTCTTTAAGGAGTGATAGAGAGTGTCCAACTTGGAATTTAAGCTGGTTTATATTATGATTTTACTTGTATAATTATAGCAAAGAGAACTCTGTTTTCAGTTTTGCAAAACTATTGCTACAAGTTTAGCTTTGTTATTACATGTTTGCTCTTAAAAATGTTTTTCATGCTTGGCAGAAATTATAACAACATATGCCTTTACCCTATGGTTTTTATTTTCATTGTGGTGCTTAGTTGCTTCTTGATTATTTTTATTTGCTTTATACAAGCTCAACCTTTCTTCTCAAATTATCTTACGATTTTTACACTAGAATAGGGATTGGCTGTGGTAGAGCATTACTATGAATTTCACATTTAGATGTTTTTGATGTCACATGGCATTAGAATTGGTGACCTGTTAAATATATTCCTTCTACCATTTACCAGAGCAACTCTGGCAAATGACTTTGTTTTTTTCATTTATGAGATTTTATTGGTTCACTGAACTCCTTCAATCTTGGGAGTAATGTTGAGGGCTAAGTAGGTTGTTTTTATTTTTTATTTTTTGAAGTCTGAGTCTTTTTGTGACTCACCCAATGGTGTGCTGGAACAAAGTTGTGCTGGTCCAAAAACGTCAAATATTGTATATCAAATAGATATACAGAGTCATAATTAAAGAAATTATATTGAGATCTTACAATTTCCTAAGTTTTTGTTATGTTTTACAACTGTCTATATTTTGGAGACTATTACATCTATTTTGTTCATATGGTAGAAATGCCATACAGTTACATTTCTCTTGAAACTTCGCATTCAATAATGCTACTTAAATTGCTTGATCTTGGCCTGTTGGTGACTAGTTGTTCAATGCAGGTCCTGCTTCTTATAGAGTAGTGATGAGGCTTGAAAGAGCCAACTAATGCAGGGAACATTTTAAGTACTTAGTAAAGGACAGTTGCTATTGAGGTCATCTCCCCGGAGCCTAAAAATGATCAATATTGCCAGGTCTTTGCAACCCACACCCTCCAAAAGCACGCAGGATCTCTTCCTGTTTCTTCTCTTATTAAATACATTTAGTAATACTTGACTCCATTCTTCCTAGGTATATATTAGAGTAAAAATAATCTACTTTAGGATCCGGACCAGAGTGGGACGAGCACAGTGGACTGTGGTGTTGGTGCACTGGTAAATTGGTGTGGGGACTTTGGGGGGAAATCACACACTGTACAAAAATGAAGGATGATGAAATAAATATATTGAAAATGCTAAAAAAATTCTATTCTAGCCAATGTGAAACAATTTTGACTAAGATCAACTATTTTAATTTCTCAATTTTTTAAAGGAATTCTAATTTTTCTCAAATTGGAAGTGAAAAGTAGTTTTGCACAGGTTTACTAATTTGTCCTCAGTGATAACTGAGAAGAAAATACTTCTCAAACCACCATCATTACACTTCAGAAAATAGAGTGATTACCTAGTGTTGGTCCCTGGATACATGCACCACAGTGTCTGGAACATGGCATGGGCAAAAGGTCATCAGTTCTCTCATCTTGGAAGATCAGTACTACTTTTCATTGTGGATTCTGTTCTGAGAATCTTCACATTACTATGTTCGATCTGAAAGGAAAAGGTGATACTAGTGGTTGGTAAGGTGGCGTTGATTTTCCATTTCCTTATGCGGGAAAAAAAAAACAACAACAACTAGAAATCACGGTGATCTTCTTTAATGTCATGTTTTAAAAAAATTAAATGTTTGTGACCCAGTGAACTGTAAATGTCTAGAACTAATCCATTTAACTTGGAAATCAAAACAAGTTGTAATGATATAGTTCGATAGGTGATTTGTATCATAGCGTGGACGTGTGGCAATACCTTTGTTTATTCCTGTCACTGGTTACTTTCATAAAATTGCTGATAATTACTGAGAAAAGTCAAGCTTGACCTTTAACTGAATATCTTCTCTTCTGCCATGACAATCTTCAATATCTTGACAGAACTGTCTTTTTTGAGAGAAGACATGCAAAGAGCAAATCATCAAGCTTAAAATTGTAATTATGTTGTTTGCTTTTGACCTAAAGAAATGTTCATCATATTCCAGAAGTTCTGGATCTACATCTGGCTTGAGACCCTTTTTTGTCTCCCCTGTAACACTGTTGATATTAATGCCAATTTTAATTTCTTGGCTTCATGAGTACATAAATATATCACCCACAGATGTGACTTTGAATGAGGACCGAAACTGTAAATTTGGATGCAAGAAATTCACAGGGTTTCATCAGATCATTTCACTCCCCAAAGTGACACAGTTGTACTGGAAAGGATTGGAATTGCTCATTTCAAACCTTCTTCAGTAGCAAAATGCCATGCGTGCAGTGAATTTCCAGCCACTTTAGTCATTTTCTTTCCTCCGTTTCTTTGCTGTGTTTGTATTGGGGGCACAGAGTAATGTAATTTAGTAAATTATGATTTGATGGCTGGGCAGCAGCCCCAGTGTTGAACAGTATTTGGACTATGATTACTAGCTGGCTTTGTCACAGTTGACATTAATTATTGATGGAAGTTTCAGAAATAGCGCATGTGCCAGGAGCTTTTCACAGGAACGCAGGCTCCAGGCAGGAGCGATACTAAAGAGAGCGGGGGAAGAAGCACCTGTGGCTTGTTTATGTCTGTGCACGTTGAACCTGGAACCAGTGGGCTGTGTGCTACTTGTCTGAAGGTCATGGTGTAACAGAAGATGAACCGTCAGGCTTATTTCTATCGTGTTCCTCCCCAGGAATTGCACCGAAGAAGCCAACTTCAGCCGGAGCCAGCCAAGACGAAGGCTCTCCAGACTGTCATTGAAATGAAGGTAGGAGCTGTTCACATTTGTCAGAAACAGCTGCGCCTCTGGAGTTTGTTCTGACTTGGTGGTGACTAACATAAACATGGAAAATGAACCTTGTGTTTTTTTTCTAGGCACCCTGGTGGTGCTTTTCTTCTCAATCTTTTTTTGCCTGCTTGGGTACATTTAATTTATTGGCCCTTTAATTAGGATGGCTTTTCCCGGCAAAACAATAAAGGACTCAAGTGTCCCTTGGCTGAAAGAAGCTGGATTCATTTTCAGAGCTTGGTCAATGCTTTCAACCATAAGGGAGGTTTTGTGTGTGCTTTATAAGTAAATTTCTAAAGCTGGAATAATTCTTTTTTTTCCTTCCCATTCATATTACAAAGAAAAGACATCTTTGAGAAACTAAGATTTGGCAGAGAAGTTATTTTATGCGCAATGGAGTTGTTAAATAAGTAAAAGCAAAATTTACTTTTCAAAGAATAATAATGGTGATACTTTCTCACAACTCCAATTTTTTCTCTTAGTTAAGTCTGGAAGTGATAATAATTTACTACATAGTTACAAGGCATCCCATATTGCTGTGGAAACAGAGAGATATGCTATATAAAGGATTCGAAGATCCTCCTGGCTGGATTTGGGTATTTAAAGAATAATGAAGAAAATGATGATGACTAAGTCGTGATCTATGATTATGAGACAGATCTAAATGAAACCCAGTTGCATTGTTAGTATCTTGAAATGTGAAGTCTTTTTACTTCCATTTTTTTTTTCCTGGAAGGAAGCAAATAATATTTATCTTAAGAATAATTCTTGACTTAAAACTGTCCCATTTAATAATAACAATAATTATAACGTTTGCAGTCTGGTCATTCTGTGCTTGAGTTAATGCTCAAGAATTTATCAGCATCTGAGAACTCTGAAGAATGCTGACGAGTGATTTTTTTCTCTTTCTTGCACCACATGATTTTGAAATATGGAATATATGCTTTAAGATTTTATGTTCCACAATGAGGTTACGTGAGTCACACATTTGCAGCAAAGAGCTGTAAAAAATATCATCAAAGGGCCAGAATACCAACTGGATTAAAAAATAAATGTTAATCCTGGCTTATGAACTGTCTTGAATTTATGTAATTTTATTTTCTTTTGAAAATAACCATCATTCTACACTTAGTGGGGAGGATTCATAAACTCACATTGGTATCTAACTTGAAAGTTGATTAAAATTTTAAAATACAAAGGGACAAAAATGATAAACAGTTTTATTTTATTTTATTTTGGAGACAGTCGTTCAGTCCCCCTTTCACCTGCCTCTACACCTACCTCCCCAGTTTCTAGTATAATTAGTAATAGAAAATAAGATGCATATAAGTCTACCTCCAAGCTGTCATCATTAAAAAAAGACTGCGTATCTAAATCTATGAAGAAACCAGAAATGGCATCTCCAGAACGTTTTCCTAATAAAGGCCTCTATCCAAAGGTAATTAGTACTTTTCTGTGACTTTTGTCAGGAATGTCTATGCTTGAGTCTAGCCTATAGCTTCTAGCATCATCTGCTTTACTACACAACAACAAATCATAAATAAAAACACTTGCTTGAAGCTTTCTACATGAGAATGCATGAAGACATGATTTTTAGGGCAAATTCACATGTATATAGTGTGCACAAGTTGAGTCGAGTGTTTTTTCTTAAATAGATCCAATGATGCTGATTTATAGGAGAACATGTTTTCAGGACAAATGATGATTAATAGATTTGCCAGGGAATCGAGTCTGGAATGTTTCTGTTGTCTCATGGATGCTTGGTAATTTTCAAAGTGCTGCCTTCTGTTTTTTCAGGAAGGAGTCTGAGTCCCATTAGCATCTCTATTCAATAGGCATAAATTGAGTTATAGAGGCAGCTAGTAAAGGGTCATCTTCTCTGCCATGTGTGTAGCTTGTGACAGAGCCTATGATCACCTGTGATTTTGTTCAGTATCTCCCTGTGAAATTGGAGGGGGTATTGCAAATCTAGATTTTACAAATCATAGAGGTTGACTATTAAGTAGAACTGACTCTTAAAATTGAAATATCATTGTGTTTTAACTTCAACACCTTTCTTCAGTAAACATCTGTGTCATCTAGTGTCTTGGCAAAATCTAAAGCTAAAAGGAGCTTTCCCAGACTATATGGTACCTATAGTTTCAGGGAGGTGACATGAGATAAGGGCTTTGAAATCATCTCTATTTGTCCCTTGCTTTTTACTTAGCAAAACTAAGGGTGAACTTTTGACTCCACAGATAGACTTTGCCTCTACTTGAGAAAGCATTTGTTGTGAAAAGTCTGTGAAATCTTGCCCCAATTCAAGTGCTTTTGGAATCACAGTCTGCTTCTAGAGGGCCTCTGTGTGCTGCTCTGGACTTGTAGAGTTGTGAAAATATGTTTCTGCGAGGCAACTTGGGAAGGACCATCTGCCTGTATCAAAGGGGCAGGCAGTTTTCTAGTAGCCTTCACATCTACTGCCAACCTATTGAGCTGGGGAACTAGAGACATGTGTATGATAATAAGAGGAAGCCAAGTAAATGAAGTTATTTGTGATTTATCTTCTTGGAGGAAGCTCCAAGTATTAATTTTGCTCCTGATTGCTCTGGCAGGTATGTGCCAGGTTTGCCTTTAGTAAATGTCTGTTTCTCTAAAATTTAGTGTTCTAGTGAATGGTTTTGCTCCTGTTCTTGCTTTTCTTCACTAAACTCCTTTTTCTACTTTTATGGAGTACTGTCAATTAAAAAGGCAGTTGAAAGGTTTTCCCTCCTTTTATTTTTTTAATATTAATTCTTTTGAAAGAATGTGTTTTTAATCTGCTTTTATTATAAAGATTTATTTATTTATTTGTGCATACAGAACTGGGGTACAGGCCAGAGGTGCAGAGGCAGTGAGAGGATTCACCAGAGACATAGTGGGGAGCAGAACAGTCTGACTGACGAAGTACACTGCTGAGGGGAGCAGCAGGCGGGTCAGGAGAGGTCTGCCATGCCATGTGGATCACCTCTGGGGCAGGCGGCGATCGAACTCATGCAAAAGTGGCTTTCAATTCTTAGTTCTGCGTTTTAACCCACTGCACCACCAGGGAGGGCCTCTGCTTTTATTATAAACCTGACAAGACATAAACATGATAGTTGAAAGTTTAACTTTCTTGAGTTCATTCATATAGCTGAATGACAGTATTTGTTGTTCTTTCTGCTAGTTAAAACTTTTAAATGAATTGAAGTGTAGTTTGAAGTGGCCAAAGCCAAAAGAAAATGTATTGCTTAATTAAAAAACACTGGAGTGTTGCTTCAGGTATAGCTTGATCTAGGGGCTCAAAAGAGGTGAAGTTAATAGATCCCACTTTCTCCCATTCCCTCTGTTATGTTAGCTTCCTTCATGTGAGCTCCATTTTCAGATCATTTCTTTCTGCCTGTCTGAACAAGATAACTGCAACAGCTCTAATAATCACAAAAGCAAGGAACAGGAAGAAAGTTGTAGCTTAAAACAGTGAAAACCCCAACCAATCCTAAAAATAGTGGTAGTTACTGAGATGGATGCTAAGGGCATCTTAGCAGCCCAAGCTGAAAAGACAGTGCACGAGTTCCAATTTTTCATTTTCTAAATATATTAAGCAAAACTTTATCAAGAAAACAGACTTTAAGGTAACACTAAGTTTAGCAGAATTTATCAGATGAAATGTATATAGGTGATGTAGGGGGATTTAGTAAAAGTTACTGAAAGTTTTTTTTTTATGGTGAATTTGTTTATTAAAATAGATTAAGAAGCTGAGTGCATGATGTCTCCATGTGACAGTATTTCTATAACATCGGAAGCGAGCGAGGATTGTGGGTGTTTAATTTTCCAGTTACATGACCATTTCAGGGTACCTGTGTGTCATGAGTGGTTCTTCTTGAGTAACATTTTTTTCCCACCAGGGTTTTCAGTGGGAACTTATTAGTTAGCAGTTTATGACAGAGCTTGGTTAAATTGCTAGCTGGTAGCTGTACTGTTGATAAAAGAATGTGACTTTGCATTCAGTACTAAACTCTCTTTGTTATTCAAACAAAAAAAAAAATCAAACCCTGTCTTTGTGCTTAGGCAAATGACAGCTGTTCTTCTGCATGGGATGAGCTGTTCTTCAATTGTCTTAAGTTACCTTTAAAATATATCTTGATATTTGGTCAAATTTAGCCAGTTCAGTTCCACTAGGCATGAAAGAGATGCACTGGAACTCTGGGGAGGCCAGAGCTACTTATTACTTGGCAACTTTTCCTAAGGAAACACAGTTAGGAAGGGAAAGATTTCTAATCTAAATCTAGACCATTGAATGCATCCCAATTCCCAGTGTGAACTTAATTCGAGTCCTGGGATCTAGTTCAGAACCCTATGAAGTGGCTGCAATGTTTTCTTTGGCTCTAGGTTCTACCTACATTTATTTCATTCATTTTTAGACTATTCCTTGTTTGGGTCTGAACACTGCATACTAAGAATTATTTCTGCTGTGAGGATGATGAGCTCATAGGAAATTTGTGTCAAGTCTAGTTTTTCTAGTCAAACCTTTATGCTGCAGAATGTTCCTGCTTTTTTATGGCTACTGAAAAGAGTAAGAATAAGATAACCAGTATACACCACCTGTACCTGTATTAGTACAACACACATCCTAATACCACTACCACCCATGGTGACCAGTTGCAGGGCACCCTGATCTGTCAATTAGCAGTATTAGTCCCACTTCATAAACGAGAAAGCCATGGTTTAGAGAGGAAAAGCAGTCTGCCCAGTGTTCTTCCATTTGTTGGTTGGGGACTGAGATTTAAAGGAGGTTTTTCCTTCAGAATTATTCTAGTCTCTATCCTTTAGTTTTGCTTTTACTGAGGAGAGCACATAGATTCAATTTTCTTTTTCTACAGTCACTTTGGAAATTATGACTACAACAAATTGAGGCAACTCATGAAAGCTGAGAGGTCTCTTTGGTGTTTTGGAAAGTTGTGATATTATACTTTGTGTTATAAGGC